TTGCATGGGCAGCACCGATTGGTAACATCGTTTGACATACAATCATATCATAAGAAAAAACTAAGCGTTTCGCTTAAAATTTTCTTGTAGGTACTTCTTTTATAGGAACTTCTTTCAGAAAACGAAAACAACCTCTATGAAACCTTGAATGAATAGTGATGGCGCGCTCCATCGTCGAACTCATCATTGCTTTTCACTACCTAGGTAACATACTTAGTATAATAAATCTGTAGAGAGGTCAATTCTGAACATTAAATATATTTTCAAAATAACTACCAGGCGGTAATAAGTGATCGATACTGATGCCAATATTGCAATCAGTAAAATTTTTGTCGGTCTGTCTGTCTGTCTGTCTGTCTGTATGTTCCTTATAGAAACCAAAACTACTGGACGGATTTTAACGAAACTTGGTAAAATTATTCTTTACACTCCTGGGCAAGTTATATGATACTTTTCATCACGCTAGAATTACAAGGAGCAGAGCAATGAAGGGAAACGTAAGGAAAACGCGAGAAGTTACTCCCTTTTTTAAGTTTCCATCGCTTGTGTATCCTTTATAGTTAAAATTACATAGAGAAATCAAGTATCACGAAAATATTCCACATAACATTATCTAAAAAATATTGTATTATAGCATGTCTATCTTTTAGACTATTTAACTCACAATAGCACGTGTAACTCCTGATAGCTTAGGAGTTCAGATAATAAGCCATCACGCCGTCGCATGTGAACACTGAATCATTCTATAAGTAAGGATTATTTTTGTGTAACGGTCGCCGCGCTCGGAGGGACAAGGGCAACAGGAGAAAATATAATAAAACGAGGTGTAACTTTAAAACTGAGACAAATTTTATGTATACCTCGATTTTGTTCTATTGCTATAGGCTGCTCTTTATTGACACAACACGCGGGCAAAGCCGCAGGAGAAAGCTAGTTGAGAATATAAAGATTTCGTACCGCGGCCAAACTCACAGCGGGATTTGCAACAGGCGTGTTTTTAGCCAGTAAGTGTCTGACAGTCTTTCTCGCCTCACCCAGTGCGGGAGAAGTTATTAGAAGATTAGAAATTATGAAGAATAGGCGTGCTCCATCGTCGAGCACCTCATCATTTTCCACCGAGCGATTTAGTGGCCAAACGCTAACTCATTGAGAAAAATATAAAGAGTTATTCGATTATCGATTATTGGATATGTGCGAGTAGTGGCGGTCAGATAACGACCGCAGCGCACAACACGGAAACAAATGCGGATGATCAGCTGTCGGTTTTTATTATTATATTCATTTTACAGTAAAACTATTGAATGAATTGCACTTAAATAATGTCAACAAAACTATTTTAATCTTTGGTTTTCTTCATACCTATTTGCAAAGAAAATTATAATGTTAACATTGTTATTATTTGACAGCTTCCGCAAATGTTGTAAACGCTACGCGTCGCCACCGTCGCGCACATCTATACTTCTATACTAATATTATAAAGAGGTACAATTTGTAAGTTTGTGTGTTTGTAAGTTTGTATGTAGGGGGTAATCTTTGGAACCGCTGGTCGGATTGCGAAAATTTTTTCACTGATAATTAGCTACAATGTTCCTGGGTGCTATAGGCTATAAAACATCACTGGGTGGTTTTCAGGCAGTAGATATAGGAGTTTGACACCTGCCCGCTTCTAAAATAAACGTCTTAATCGAAAAAAAGCAACATAAAATTACATTAACTCATTTACTCTCTCATAATACTAAAATATTAATAGCTAATTACGTAATTAAATACAAAAACAGTACATTATTTCGTCCAAAATAGCGTTTTATTTTACATTTTCATATATTTTGAGGTTATGTTAGTTTGGCGCGGAGTCTTGGGTCGAGTTTACGTCGATTGAGTGCGATTCGTGCTTCTCACCATTCTTAACTTGCTTGGTAACATTTCTGTGAACAAAAATACAGATTAACTTACATAATGCACATGATGTCACGTCAAATCCAAATCCAATCCAAACTAATATCATAAATGCGAAAGTAACTCTGTCTGTCTGTCTGTCTGTCTGTCTTTTCTTCACGCCTAAACAACTGAACCGATTTCTGTGAAATTTGGTACAGACATAGTTTGGAACTTGAGAAAGGACATAGGCTAGTTTTTATACCAAAAATCTGCAGGAAGTCCTTAACTATTCTACGCAAACAAAGTCGCGGGCAAAAGCTAGTCAAACATAAGTTTATAGGTACAGAAGCGTTCTTTTGGATTTTCAAAATGCATAAATGTAAGCGCCACGTTCATGACACTAAAGGATTTAAAATGTAATGATGAATTGATTCAATCATTTGTTAATTTGTTATTTTTTTCTAACAACTTGTTCCCTGCTTTGTTTTCACATATGAGTATAATACTGTGTATTTAATGTATGGGTTAGCTTGAAAATCATTTTTTTTTTTTTACTTAAAGACTGGCAATGTAGTTTCTTGGTCGTCCTTCTCCATTCGAATCTACGCTTTGGAACGAGCACCTAGCTTTACTGACAGACTACTATACTATTTCGACGTTTCAAAAGTACATATTTATGGTTTAGTTGGAATAAATTATTTCCACTCTGACGTCATTTTCTCCCTATTCCCCAAAGGGAGAGCCATGCTTTGGCTCGAATGAATCGGCTCAACCGAAACGATACCACGGCTTCACAGAATACATGTTTAAACAGTACTTTACAATATTGTGTTTGGCCTTTTTGTGAGACAATCTCAATGCTGACCTTTGCTCAGCAGCACGTCGATTCTATAAAATTTGTTTGATTTTGAATCGTGTTCGAGTGCGAAGTTAGCGTAGAAGTGACGGGGAAATTAAATTTTAGAATGTCACTTTTAACGTCATCTCATTTTATCTATCAAAATGTTGCTGTCAATTTAGTTCAACTCGCAAGTGTAGCGCTAGTGTACTACTACTCACGGCGGATTCAGATTCCAAATTTAGAATGAAGTCTTACAGAATCACACTGAAGTGGGAAATTGTATGCTGGTGTGGTGATTTAAACATGATACGTACCATAGGACAGTTCTCTGCCGAGTCGTGGTGAAAAGTTCATTGTTCTACCAAGTCTGGGCGAGAAGTATTTTGTCCTGCTATCAATTTGATCGGGATCCGGCCGGTACCTATAAAATCAAAAGGAAAAGGTACAGTTAGAAATAAAACATTAAAGATAGCAAAGATTTAAGTGTGGAAGAGCCATGCTTCGGCACGAATGGGTCGGCTCGACCGGAGTGATACCACGGCCTCACAGAAAACCTGCGTCAAATAACCACAGCCTTGTGTTTCGCCGTGTGAGTGGGGTTACCGGACACCCAATCCTTCCCCTACCCCAATCCCTCCCCATTCCTAAAATCTCCAAATTCCTAAACCCCTAAAGGTCAGCAACGCACGCCGTTGCCGGTGTCCATGGGCGACGCTGATTGCTTACCATCAGGTAATCCGTTTGCTCTTTTGCCGACCTTCCATTCTCCCATCTGTTTATACGGATTAGATCCAATTATATTTAACAACAAAAAACAAGAAACATTAACAACATTCACAAGTTCTCTCTCGCAGTACCTCATACATTACAATAAAAAATTCTTTCCATCCATCTGCAAACAGATCTATAGTTGGATTAGACTCCAGCACGTCGATTCTATAAAATTTGTTTAACTTTGAATCGTGTTCGAGTGCGAAGTGAGCGTTGAAGTGACGGGGAAATTCAATTTTAGAATGCCACTTTTAACGTCACCTCATACTTTATCTATCAATGTGTTACTGTCAATTTAGCTCAACTCGCAAGTGTAGCGCTAGTGTACTACTACTCACAGCGGATTCAGATTCGAAGTTTAGAATGAAGTCTTACAGAATCACACTAGCGAGGAATTGGTGACTTTAGCACGTGCGACAGTTCGACATTGGAGTACTGCAAATGCCCTGTGTTGTTAACTGCGGAAATAGTTATTTGGGATATACATGCTTGCTAGCGTCTCCATATGGTGCCACGATCATCTAACAGACCACCACGATTTGGGTTCGTGTTCCAAAAGCCAATCCAAATTCCCTATCTCCTCAAAAGGCCAGCCATACACTTGTTAACGTCTTTGGTGTTGAAGATGTCCGTTGGGAGTGCTGGCAGCTTACCTTTAGGTGACCGATCTGTTTATTTGCCGAACTATAACTAATTGATAGAAGACAAAGATTTTGAAAAGTAGGAGGGGAGATCTGAGAAACACCCTTTCGTCATTAGCTAGATAGTTGGAGGCCCGTGCGAAGCAGGGAAGGGCCACTAGTACTGTATAAAATGGGTAATACCAACAATTCTTTAAAATCCCCTTTTAAAATGCGCTAGTTATATCTAGACATCTTGTACATTTTCGAATTTATTTAGTATACGTGTAGGGCAAATTTCGAAAATCGATCTTTAAAATTATTGATGCCAGACATTTTTTACCTAGCAACTGCAACTTCTATAAGCCAGGAATCTTTTTTCAAGGTAGAAATTAGATGGAATGGCTTATCAATCCCTGGGAGAGATGCGTCAGGATCTACAGTGGCTATACTAAGCACGAATACACCAAAACAATAAGCCGATACGTTCTGTAGATACACTAACAACTGCATTGGATCCCGCAAAGAAATAAATCAGAAGATGTTAATTGGAGAAGATCATGATCTTGATTTTGAACTTGGGCGCTTTAGGGAGGCAATCAATACTATAGATGCAGTTTTTTAATATGCGTGGTTATGGCTGTAGCAAAGAGCTGCAAATTACGTTAGTCATGTACCTAGGTCACAGGGTTCCGTGAAGAGAGCAACGTAGAAAGCTAATAACAATCTCTGGAAAAATTAGGAGTGTCTAGGAGGTTCTTTTTTGGGCTCTCACTAAGTTTAATCTGCCTCTGACTCCAGGCCACAGAAGAATGAATAGGTATGATATGAAAATGGCTCTAGAACGGTAAGAAAAAAGGTTATGACATTGAAAATGATGTTAATGATACTTACAGTTCTTGATCAGCCGGAGTAGCTGGCATATCGTCGGACAACCGCCTTCCCAATCGCGGTGTGAACTCAACATTCTCAAAAACTTTGTCATCATAAGCCAAACTTCTTCCCAATTTAGGAGTAAATATCACTTTTTTTGTAACTGTTGACAAAAATATACCATCAGTTACTGGACAATCTCTAGACAAGCTCATGACGATACCTAAGTACGTGTGTTGCCTGGTCAGTCACCGCTACCATCAGTTGACTGGACAATCTCTTTACATGAGCTGCTGTTTACATGTGAACATTAGCTCATGACGATACCTAAGTACGTGTGTCGCCTATACAGTCACCGCTACCATCCGTTGACTGGACAATCTCTTTACATGAGCTGCTGTTTACATGTGAACATAAGCTCATGACGATACCTAAGTACGTGTGTCGCCTGGACAGTCACCGCTACAATCAGTTGCCTGGACAATCTCTTTACATGAGCTGCTGTTTACATGTGAACATTAGCTCATGACGATACCTAAGTACGTGTGTCGCCTGGACAGTCACCGCTACAATCAGTTGACTGGACAATCTCTTTACATGAGCTGCTGTTTACATGAGAACATTAGCTCATGACGATACCTAAGTACGTGTGTCGCCTGGACAGTCACCGCTACCATCAGTTGACTGGACAATCTCTTTACATGAGCTGCTGTTTACATGTGAACATTAGCTCATGACGATACCTAAGGACGTACTGACCTCTGGTTTCTGGCTCGTCCGCTTGCATCTCGTAAGGTAATCGGTCGTAGTAGTATTTTAATGCGTCTGCTGCTTCCAGTAATTTAAAGAATGCTTGTCTAAAAACAAAAGATGATTTAAACAGCTGTTCGATGGATTAATAGTTCGCAAATGTAGGTAAGTATGAAAATTGTGGAACCGTTGATAGTTATCCATACACAGAGACACATGCTAATGATTACTTAAGCATTTGACAAAGTAAAAGTTTTGTTGTAAATACAATTGTTACGAAGTGATTTAAGTAATTATTTTATGACTCTGAGTACGTCGGTTATTTTGTTAATTTTATGAAAGGAAACAGATGGAGTTTGTTATATTGTATATAGCAAGTAAGTAAGTATGTATATGTTCGGCACATTAATAATGAAAAAAATGCAAGGAAATGTTAATAATTCTCTCATTCAATGATATTTTTTATTTATATATTTTTTGGCGGGATTCATGACAATCGTCGATTTTAAAGATGGAGTATTATTTTCCCAGTCCTTCTTAATTCAAATTTAAATTTTGGAACGAGCACATAGCTTCACTGGTTTTTTTTTATTTGATAGGTCGGGAGACTAGCAGACGGATTACCTGATTGTAAGCAATCGGCTTTCAGAAATTTAGGGATTGGGTAGGGATAGGGTTAAGGAGGGGATTGGGTCTCCGGTAACCTCACTTAAACGGCGAAACACAACGCAATGGTTGTTTCACGCCGGTTTTCTGTGAGGCCGTGGTATCTCCGGTCGAGCCGACATATTCGTGCCGAAGCTTGGCTCTCCCACACTGAACTGACATACAGAATAACTATTGTTCTTGTTTCGCTTTCGTCGTTTTGTTGACGCTTAAAATGTATCTGTATGTGTTTTAGTTAAAATAAACGTTTTTGACTTTTTAACGTCTCTGGAACGCGCCTTCGACCAAGTTTTCAGGGTTGGCACTTCAGCTTGGGATTAATTTAAAACCTCTATATAAAATTGAGCAGTTTCTCTAGTTATTTAATAATACAAACCTGTTGTCTTCAGTGGATATCCTTAAGGATCGTTTCCCGAGTCTGGGACCGAACCACAGGCCAGCCCTGTCGCTGTGAGCTCCTCTATCTGAACCGCCATCCTAAAAACATTTATTATTATAGATATATTATATAAATTAATTAGCTTCCTCCCGCGGCTTTCGCCACCGTGGTATGTTGATAAAAAGTAGCCCATGCCCTATTCCGATCCTATGCCTTTGCCAAATATCATCCCGATCCGTCCAGCTGTTTTGGCGTGATTCAGTTACAAACATCTAAACATCGTAACTTTCGCTTTTAAAATATTAGGAAGATTGAACAAACGGATGTCAATGCTCGAGTGAATAGGTTGCTTATGCGTAGGCGTCCTCCATCGTAGGTCGCATCGTCGTTTACCACCAGGCGTGATAGCGGCCAAATGCTTCATCATCAGCCTATATGCAGACGACAGCACAGTAATCATAAAATGTAAAAATGAACTCGAATATGAAAATGAGATAAATAAATGTTTATATGATATCATAAATTGGCTTAACAAAAATAATTTGGTAATAAACTTGAACAAAACAAAGGTTATGCACTTTCATCAACGTCGTCATCAAAAAAATATTACAATCGCGTATGAAAACCACTGTATTGAGCAAGCAAATAAAGCTAGCTTCTTGGGTATAACCATTGACGACGTCCTGAGCTGGAAGCCTCATGTTGAAGAGTTATGCAAAAGACTCAGTAAATCCGCATACGCGCTTTTTCAACTTTCAAAAAAAGTAAACATTCAGGCTCTTCTTGCAGCGTACCATGGACTCGTTGCCTCGGTATTACGCTATGGCATTATATTCTGGGGGCAGTCTACAGATAGAGAGCTTGTGTTTAGAATGCAAAAAAGATGTTTAAGGTCAATGTGTGGTTTAAAGACCATAGACAGCTGTACTACACACTTCAAATCACTTAAAATATTAACATTTCCCTCCATGTATATACTGGAAACAGCTATGTTTGTAAAACAAAATCCCCACTTATTTCCAAAATTGAGCTCTGTCAGGAATGTTCCCAAACGCACCCAATATATTAATAAGCTAAGCCAAGTAAAATGTAAAACAGCACTTATGTCCAAAAGTTTGTTTGGTAATGCCCCTAGAATTTATAATAAAATTCCCAATGAAATAAAAACTACAACATTAATTAATTTTAAGAGTATTCTCACCAAACTATTATTAAACAAATGTTATTACTCAGTTGAAGAATTCCTTAATGACAATATCTCTTGACAATTTTAATTGATTTAATTTTTGACATACTCAATTTTTGTTATTTTATTATTATACCTATTTGTTTTTTTTTTTTGACATACTTAATTTTTTTATTTTATCATTATAATTGATTTAATTTTTGACATACCTACTTAATTTTTGTTATTTTATTATTGTAATTGATTTAATTTGTGACATACCTACTAAATTTTTTGTTATTTTATTATTATAATTGATTTAATTTTTGACATACCTACTTAATTTTTGTTATTTTATTATTATGGTTGTACTGAATTTATCTCAATTTTAATCTTCTAATAATATTTCGAATGTACCTACCTAATATATTTGTATGTCTATTACGGCAAAACATAGTGGACTATCTATATGTAAGACCTTATTATGTAAACTACCTATGTTTAACAAATAAATTATTCTGATTCTGATTCTGATTCTGCCTATAAGTGCCCACTGCTGAGCAAAGGCCTCTTCTCATACGGAGAAGGTTAGAGCGTTAATCACCACGCTTGCTCAATGCGGGTTGGCGATTTCAAACTTATAATTAGAAATTATAAGTCCAGGTTTCCTCACGATGTTTACCTTCACCGTTTGTCAGTGGTGTCTAAATAATCATAGAAAGTACATATAACTCGGAAAAAGTCACATTGGTACTTGCCAGGTTTCGAACCCACACCCTCATGCATGAGAAGCGGGCTCCTTAACCTCCGGCCCACCACGACAAATGTTTGCCCATTATGAAATAAAAAAATGTTCAGTTTCTATTTGCCTACTGCTGCATTGAGATTTAATCTTACTGTCGAACCAAACTCTTGAGATGGTGATTAGATGTCCCAGATCTCAAGAGACCACGGATGCAATCAGCACGTCGATTCTATAAAATTTGTTTGATTTTGAATCTTGTTCGAGTGCGAAGTGAGCGTCGAAGTGACGGGTAAATTACATTTTTGAATGCTACTTTTTATGACATCTCATACTTTATCTTTCAATATTTTGCGGTCAATTTAGTTCAACTCGCAAGTGTAGCGCTAGTGTACTACTACTCACGGCGGATTCAGATTCGAAGTTTAGAATGAAGTCTTACAGAATCACATCCCAGTATTTTGGTATAAAAAGTATAAAATAACAAAATTATTTAAAAAATTTAAAAAGCCCCGGCAAAAAAAACTAGGTTCTCTTTAAAAAGTAAGACAAAAATACGTCGCGTTGGGGGACCGCTCCAAATTTTTTATTATCTACAATTTTTATTGCTAATAGCGCCCTAGATAAAGTCGTCAACATTCCCTTTCAGTGCGCTTTCATTTGAGACCCCACTCGAGTATATTTGTAGACCTTCGGTTACCCTTCCCTACTTATACCCATAATTTCTAAACGGCTCAACCGATTTTCGTCAAACATGTCTAAGAACACTCGCACGTAAGTCACCTTAAATTCAAATAACTAAATTTAAATCGCTTCATCCGTTCATGATGCCTCTTTTTCCGTCCGAAGTTAATAAAAACAATCGTTTATTATCATATTACACTTCTTTTAAATTTGTAGCTAGAATTTGCAATTATTAACAGTTTTTACTCGTCATCCAGGCTTCATAAAACAGCTTTTAAAAGCGTAGTATTATTGTAACTTTGTAAAAAATACTACAGTCTTTTTTTCATTCCGGGAACGGTATAGGAAAATTACTGAACATAGGACAAGACGCCAAAATCCCTTTGGCAAGCTAAATGCTGATTGATGAATGTTATAAACTACTAATATTATAAACGTGACAGTTTATAAGTATGGATGTATGTTTGTTATTTTTTCACGCAGCTTTAATATCTTAAGCCTTCTTAAAAACTAGTACCTATTTAATAATAAAAGGGATAAGTAGTAAAACTTTCATTAGGTACCTACTTAAGTACAGTCAGGGGTCGAAAATACAATTGCACTTTACCAATTTTAAAATGACCAAAATATCTTTGTAGAATAGAGCCAATGGTTGAGGACTGCTTTAATTTATAGCATAGAATCTAAATTATTGAATTAACTGGCTATGAACCATTGAACTTTTATAACAAAGAAATTTTAGTCATTTTAAAATTGGTAGAGTGTAATTGTATTTTTGACCCCTGAATGTACATACCTAAGATTAAACTTTACTCATATTGTAGTACATGAATCTATAGTAATTTTTTTTCAATCTTCACACCCAACCGTTAATGAGCAATAGGCTTTAGAATGAATCGTTTTTACGGCTTAAAAGGCGCGTAGGCTCTTTATAAAAACTCTTATTTGAAAGTTTCCGATAAACTTATTTGGTACATAGTTCATATATTTAAATTATAGTATTTATCTATCACTTCTAAGTTGGCTATTCAACAAGCCTTTAGTATTCATCTTTTTTACAGAAAAATAACCACTACATAGTATAAAACAAAGTCGCTTTCTCTGTCCTTATATCCCTATGTACATATGAAATCTTTAAAACTACACACTGGATTTTGATGCCGATTTTTGTAATAAAAAAAGAGATTGTAAACGAAATTTTATATGTAATATAATAACATCTATTAAATAGTGGAGATATATTTTATAAGTAATGCACCCGAGCAAAGACGGGGTGGGGAAAACAAATGAATCCATAAACTTACCTTAATCTCATTGTTATTAGCTAGAACACAGGTAACAGAGATAGCAAAGAAAATAGTAGAACTGAACATGTTGAAGTCGGAATGAGAACTATGCTCTGGGAATGCCAGGATCCGTTTATATACTGGACCGAAGTAAAATCTTTATGTAAATAAGGGTAAGCTTGGGAAATACGGCACACCGATAGATCTATTTTCGCTACAACTTTTAATTTGTAGGTATCTTTATTATTGGATTGGATTCTATTTTATTAATTCGGATTTTACGTTGGCGTGCGTTTTGTCCCATGGGTAAAGCCAGTTAGAACCGGTTTGAGAGTTAACGACTATTTTGTGAGTAGTTGACGTTCTATGATTGGTTGAATGAACGATGTATATGTAGTTGCATTATACCTACGGTAGTTTCTAGCCAGTCAAATTCAATACGAAGTAATTTAATATTATAAATTCGAAAGTAACTCTGTCTGTCTGTCTGTCTTTTCTTCACGCCTAAACTACTGTACCGATTTCTGTGAAATTCGGTACAACCATAGTTTGGAACTCGAGAAAGGAAATAGGATAGTTTTTATAACATAATATTAATAATAAAACACTATCAATTCTATGTGCTACCTATTCATAGGTTTGAAGTCGGTGCCAAGCCTAATACACAATATAATAAGCATGATTACATGAGTACCTACACTCGCCGGGCGCGTGTGAATTTATTTGTTAGGATTTAAGAAATGTAGTACCGATTTTCTAACTTGATGGCGTAAGCGTAGAATCAGAAGTCTATATGGTTTCGTTACCGGCGAAACTGTATAGTCGTGTCTATAAGTCGTGGTGGCCTGGAGGTTAAGGCGCCCGCTTCTCATGCATGAGGGTGCGGGTTCGAAACCTGGCAAGTACCAATGTGACTTTTTCCTAGTTATATGTACTTTCTATGATTATTTAGACACCACTGACATACGGTGAAGGTAAACATCGTGAGGAAACCTGGACTTATAATTTCTAATTATAAGTTTGAAATCACCAACCCGCATTGAGCAAGCGTGGTGATTAAGGCTCTAACCTTCTCCGTGTGAGAAGAGGCCTTTGCTCAGCAGTGGGCACTTATAGGCTGATGATGATGATGATGAAACTGTATATAGCTTAGAAAGATATTTGGATGAATTATGAAAGTTTTTTCGTACTTGGTTGTTAAAAGTAGTAGTAGATAGCTACGTTGTTAGTTGTGGAAATTTCGTCTTTCAGCAATTAAACAGTCTTAATTCTCATTTAGTTTTATTCTGTTTAGGGCTTGGCACCAATGAAACAAACAATGAAACAATGAATTTATTTTTGCAAATAGGCCTTAAAACGGCACTTTTACACGTCAAATTATATGTGAAAAACTAGATGAAGCCGGCATTTCCTATCTGACTACTCTGAGAAGAAATGCCGAAACAAACTCAGAGGTCAGTCTCTTTTCAAGTCCAGACAATATAAAATAACATAATGTGAGAGAACCGTGCAAGTTCATTCTGTAGTGGTCTTTTGAGGAAAGAACCACACCAGTTTAAGTGGACCGGTTCTGAAGACAGGCACGCAAGTGTCAGTTTGCAACCATATAGCTAGTGCTGTTGAGTTGTCCGACGAACAATACCGATCAAAAGAACATTTGGGTGGGTCGCGCAAGTACTCAAACTGTCAGAACGCAGATGACTGGTGATAAAAAAGCACGACAAGTCTCACACGGTCCTTACACTAACAATAATATAAAATAATAAAAATGTCAACAAATAAATAAAAAAAAATGTCAAATAAAAAATAAAAATGTCACACTATGTGATCATGTCATTGTATAAAAAAAAAAAACGTAATGTCAAATTGTATATAAAAGTGTAACTTATGTTACAAACATGTCAACATGACCTGTGCAGACATTACAGCGGCTCATTCCCAAGCCTGACTATCCTCTAAGTAGTCTTTTATTTTATAAAATGCTTTACAGCAAAGTTTAGCCTTTATTACACTTTTAAATTTATTGAGGCTCAAATTTTGAATATCGCTAGGAATTTTATTGTAAAAGCGTATACATTGACACCTAAACGAACTACTTATTTTCTGAAGCCTGGAGGCAGGCACAACATATTTGTTTTTCCCCCTCGTGTTGATATTATGTATATCACTATATTTCTTAAATAAGCTTTTGTTTTTATGAGCGTGAATTACATTTTCATAAATATATTGAGAGGCAACTGTCATTATTTTAGATTCCTTAAATAATTCTCTGAGCGAATGCCTCGGACTAAGATTATAGATTGATCGAATAGCCCTTTTCTGCAGAACAAAAATAGACTGGATGTCAGCAGCAATTCCCCCACAACAAAATACCGTATGACATGATGCTGTGGAAATAACCAAAATAAACTAACCGCGCTGTATCTATATCTGTTAAATTTCTAATTTTTTTAACGGCATATGCTGCAGAACTGAGCTTCTTCGACAAGCCATCTATATGTGGGCCCCACTGGAGCTTAGCGTCCAGGGTTATACCTAAAAAGACAGTTGTATCTACAGGACTCAACTCCTCGCCCTTGACAAGCACACTGGTTTTTATCTGTTTAACATTTGGTGTTGTGAATTTAATACATTTAGTTTTAGTTTCGTTTAGTAATAAGTTATTCACACCAAACCAGTGAACTATTTCTGAGAGAGCACTGTTTACATTGTCAATTAATGATTGTCGTCGTCTGAGTTTGAATAATAGTGAGGTATCATCAGCAAACAGCACTATCTCGTGTTTATCCCTTACAAGGTAAGGCAAGTCATTAATATAGATAAGAAATAAAAACGGGCCGAGAATAGAACCCTGCGGAACACCCATCTTCACAACAGACCCGGCAGAAACCATTCCGTTTACTTCGACTCTCTGAACCCTATTACTCAGGTATGAGGTAAGAAGGTCCAGAGATGCACCTCTAATTCCGTAATGGGAAAGCTTCCTGATCAGTGTATCATGAAGCACGCAATCGAACGCCTTGGATAAATCACAAAATATTCCCAAAGCGTCGCTTGAGTCCTCCCATGCGTCGTAAATATGATTAAGAAGTTCAACACCGGCAAACAACATCAGTTGTTGAACGACCCCTTGTAAATCCGAACTGCTTCGCATGTAATAATTTATTTCTATTAAAAAATCTTTGCATTTGATCTAAAATGATTTTTTCAAAAATTTTACTGAACGTAGGTAGTACTGAAATAGGTCTAAAGTTAGTGGGGTCAGAAGTACTACCTGATTTAAATAATGGAATTATTTTACTACATTTCATAAGATCAGGAAACACACCACAGTCAATACAGTTATTAAAGATTTGAGCCAATACAGGTGCTACAATAGTTATTACAGAGCTTGTAATGTACACAGAATTACCCCATAGATCTGCAGTCTTTTTGTTATTCAAAGTATTAAAGATTTTAACAATGTCTTTGTTATCTATGTGTTTGAAGGAAAACCCTGAATCGCAAGCTACAACATGTTCTTTGAGTAAAGACTCTGCAACAGTGGGAGATGAATTCAGTGACTTTGTAGTGGATACAGGAATGTCGGAAAAGAAATGTTCAAAAGCAGTTGCAATTTCTACATCCGCTTTTATTAACTTATTATCAATTACTAGACTATGTTGACTAATTCTTTTTTTAGACCTTCCTGCCTCACTGTTGATAATGTTCCAAGTGTCTTTGATAACATTGGTACTGTTCTTTATCTTAGAGCTTAAGAATAGAGATTTTGCAACAGAGCAAACTTTTTTAAATAATTTAGAATAGTTTTTTACATATTCACTGAATTCAACAGTATTAATATATGTCCGCTCATTATAGAGCTCATAGAGGCGATTTCTACTCTTATAGATACCAGTGGTTGCCCAATCACCAAAAGACACATTGCTATTAGCTGGAATAGTTTTATCTGTAAAAGTAGACTTAAACTCTGTTAGGTACATTTTAAAAAACTTATCATATAAAGTGTTAGAATTCTTATAATTCAACAACAAAGGCAATTTGTTGCTGAGTTTAGCTTTGAAAAATTCAATGCGTCTTTTAGTCTTCGGATTAACTGTGATAAATTGTTTTGACCGACTTCAAATCTATGAATAGGTAGCACACAGAATTTATAGTGTTTTATTATTAATATTAAAAGTATTAGCTTCGCGTACGTAAGAATGCTATTAGAATATCAATTTTAATTACTTATTTGACACTTTATGTTTTTGAAGTCGGTTTTTTTAAACGTAGTTTTTTTTTATTTTTTACTTTTTAGTATCTGTTACAAGTTCTTCTGTAAACTACAGTAACATTTTAAATATAAATTAACATATTGAATAGTATATACTTTTTAAGTAGCTTTGTGTACCTAGGCCAACGAAAGGAGCCGCTCGTTAAAAAAAAATAGATCTCAAGAAATGGGAAAGTTCTCATCATCATCATCATCATTATCAGCCATTTTAATGTTCCCACTACTGGAACACAGGCCATCTCTCCAGGAAAGTTCTTAACAATATAAATTAAGTCCAAACACGAGGTAGCTACTGTAAACCGTTGAGGAGTTCCCTAGACTGTCCTTCGTCTTCATCATCAGATCCCTGATGACAGTCACAATCCATCTAGATGTAAAGTTCTTATCAAAACGAATTAATTAAGCTCAAACACAAGGAAGCTGCTATGAATTGTTGAGGAGTTCTCTCGACTCTCTCTCGGTTCCATCCGGAATTCCCTCGACGGTCAATGGTCTTCATCATCAGGTAAACTGCAGACCTTCAGTTGTTATAATACATACAGGTACAAAGTTTTCATCAATATAAATGAATTAAGTTCAAACACGAAGTAGTTACTGAAAGCCGTTCAGGAGTTCCTTGAGCTGTCCTTCGTTCTCATCATCAGACCCTTAATGACAGTTACAACCAAGCCTGCTGCAAAGTGCTCGTCAATACGAATCATTCAAGCCCAAACACAAGGCAACTACTTCAAATAGTCAAGGAGATCCCTCGACTGTCTTCCAGCTCCAACATCTGGTCGACTTCGACCTTCGTCAAGTTGTAGTGTTGATA